TGACACAAGTTTCTCAGGTTTTTTCTTTTTATTAAGAAAAACACAAGTTAAATACAGGCTGCACATCTATAAACCAGAACTCTCTTGTTCAGCAACATCTATGGTCTGTAAGGACCATGAATGTTCCAGGATCAGAGTCCCAGCACGCTGCAGGGGCTGGGAGCCTGGCACTATGCAGGAGCTGGGGGAATGTGGCTCAGCTGACCTGAGGAAAGGGGGGCTGGAGTCAGTGCATGGTTCAGCTGTGTTGCAGCAGGGGCTGGCCAGAAAGCCTGCTGGGGAGAAAGAGGGGGCAGGAGGACCAGAAATGACCTCCCCATGTCCAGAAAAATCCCTCATCCAGGACTGGTTGGGTCCCTAGGAAGCCAGACCAGGGAGGTCTGACCTGTAGAACCCTTGGTCTATTCAGCTATCACTGGGCATGAAATGCCTGCCTTTCAATAGACAAACCCAATAATGTTTATTGACTTGGTATTTTGGCATCCTACTCTTAAACTTTGTCAACTATTACTTATAATCATATTTTGGCATCCTACTCTTCTGAAACTTTGTCAACTATTACTTATAATCAATTATTCCTGTTTAATCTTATTCTACAAGTGATCTGAAGTCAATGTAATCTCGATGGGTCTTTCCCAGAGTCATAATTTGACTTTAGGTGCACATATACTGCAGTGGATGCAGTTTAAGAACCTCGTTAGAGATTAGGTACCAGGACACTCTAATCATGTTTCACTCTCTTTTTAGGCTGAATGCACTCAACTCTTGAGTCTTTATTAAGAGCAGACTCAAGGGGTGAGGTCACAGAAGACAACTGGAGGGTTGTTCTCCAATGTGCTGATTATACCACTGATAGCTACCTACTTTGCTCTCTGGAGCTCACCACTAGGGATGTAAGCGACTAGTTGACTATCCAATAAGCTTTTCCTTGACACATTAGTCGACTAGTTGCTTCTTAAAAGCCGGTTTCCCTCCAGCTCCATGGGATGGGACGGGGCGCAGCAGCAGCACTTCCTCTTTGAAATGTATAAGAGCCCCAGTACTTTAAGTTATCTTGTATGTTTCAAAGTGGAAGCACCCGCATGGAGCCTCGGGAGCCATGCAGCATTCCAACTTTGAAATGCAGAAGATGCCCTGCTGGGACTCTTGTACATTTCAAAGGCAGAATGCGCAGTAGTCCTTATCAACTAATTGAATAGTTGATGGAAATCCCATCGACTGTTTGACTAGTTAATTAATTGATATTTAAATTCTTACTCCTCACCACTCCTGTTCTGCTGGGTCAGATTGTCTGGTCTTCCCCAGACAAGGTACAGAGTTGGGATATGTTGTTGTTCGTCCATCGTATTCGAAGAGGACCTTGACATCTAACAGGTTATGGACTGTTCATGGTGTGTCCGCAAATGGCTGATAAGGCCGATACGGGCACGGAATGTTCTACCACAGGTCGGGCAGACATGTGTGGGCACCACTGTTGCAGCTTTTGCAACTCTGGCTTTACGGAGTGCTCGCTTCTCTTGTGCTATGGTTGTCCTTCTGGCTTCAGATGTTTGACAGCCTTGGTAGATCAGCGTGTGCCATGTTGATCGGTCTTGTGCCAGGGTCTCCCAGCAGGTGGTGTCAATATCCAGGGACTTGAGAGAGGCTTTAAGCGTATCTTTGTATCGCTTCTTTTGTCCCCCGTGCGATCGCTTCCCTTGAAACAGCTCACCATAGAAGAGCTGTTTAGGGATGCGATGATCTGGCATCCTTGCAACATGGCCTGCCCAGCGTGTCTGAGCTTTCATCAGCAGGGTGTAAACTGACGGCAGACCTGCTCTAGAAAGGAATTCTGTGTCTGGCACCTTATCCTGCCACCGGATCCTCAGAAGTCTGCGGAGGCAAATCGTGTGGAAGTGGTTCAGTTGCCTAGCGTGCCTCCTGTATACAGTCCAAGTCTCACTGGCGTACATCAGGGTAGTTAACACTACTGCTCAATAGACTTTAAGCTTTGTAGCAAGGCTTATTCCACGGCGGTCCCACACTTTGGTCAACAGTCTGCCGAACGCAGAGCTTGCCTTGGCGACTCTGCAGTTGACCTCGATGTCAATTGTCACTGAGCGGGAGAGGGTGCTGCCAAGATATGTAAATTGGTCCACTGCTTGCAGCTTTTGTCCCTTCACTGTGATGGTGGGCACTTGATGCTGAGCTTTTGGAGCTGGCTGGTGCATCACTTCGGTTTTCTTTGTGTTGATGAGAAGGCCGAAGTTGTCGCATGCTGCTGCAAATTTGTCCATGCTGGCTTGCATTTCCTGCTCTGATCCAGCATTCAGGGCGCAGTCATCAGCAAAAAGGAGATCTCGTAACACAGTCTCTTTTATCTTGGTGACAGCCTGGAGTCTTCGCAGGTTAAACAATTTCCCATCGGTCCTGTATCTCAGTCTGATTCCCAAGGAACTGTTCTGAAAGGCGTCTGACAGCATGGCTGAAAACATTATGCTGAACAGGGTCGGTGCCAGCACACACCCTTGCTTGACGCCGTTTGTGACGGGAAAGGCCTCTGAAGCTTCTCCATCATCCAAAACACGAGCCGTCATGCCGTCGTGGAACTGACGTACCATCAAGATGAATCTGTCAGGGCACCCAAACTTCGACATGATGCGCCACAGACCTTCGCGACTGACAGTGTCAAAAGCCTTGGTGAGATCCACGAAGGTGGTGTACAGTTCACGATTCTGCTCTTGACACTTCTCTTGAAGCTGTCGGGCTGCGAAGATCATATCCACCGTGCCACGCTCTTTGCGGAAGCCGCACTGTGTCTCGGGTAATAAACCCTGTTCCAGGTGGTTAATCAGACGATTCAGCAACACTCGTGCAAGGATCTTACCTGCGATGGAAAGCAGTGATATTCCTCTATGATTATCGCAAACTTGTCGATTTCCTTTCCTCTTGTAGAGGTGTACGATAGACGCGTCTTTCAGTTCCTGAGGAATAGATCCTTGATTCCAGAAGGACTGGAACAGCTGAGTGAGTTTGTTGACAAGCACTGCACCACCACCCTTATAGACTTCCGCTGGAATCGCATCAGATCCTGGGGCCTTGCCACTGGACAGCTGGCTGATGGCCTGTAAGGTTTCAGTCTCTGATGGTGAGACATCCAGGCTGTGGTTGATATCCGCCTGGGGCATTCTATCAATCGCCTCGTTATTGATGGAAGATGGGCGGTTCAGTACGGATTGGAAGTGCTCAGCCCAACGCTGTAAAATCAGAGCCTTCTCAGTAATGAGAGTTGCACCATCTGAGTCCAGTAGAGGGGAACTCCCTGAGGGCTGAGGTCCATACAAGGATCTAAGGGCTTCGTAGAACCGTTTGGCATCGTTTCTATCAGAAAACTTCTGGATTTCATCTGCTTTGGCACTCAACCAGGAGTCCTGCATCTTACGAAGCTTGTTCTGTACGATCCTGCGAATGTTGTTGAAGGCATTTTTCTTAGCTGTTGACGATGGGTCATTCTGGTGAGCACGGTGAAGGCGATGCTTTTCAGCAAGTATGGCCTTGATCTCTTCATCGTTTTCATCAAACCAGTCCTGCTGTTTCCTGTGTGAGGGTCCCCCCAAATTCATCTGTCTCTGAGTAAAAGTTTTACACAAAGAAAGCTCATGAGGTTGTTCACCCTCTTTATTAATGAGAGAGAGAAAGAGAGAAGAGATGCATACTTATTGTCCCCCACTCTCTTCCAAGGTAACAACTATTTACACTGGGCCTGATGGTAAACAAAGAGTTTTTATTAAGTACAAACAGTAGGATTTAAGTGATTCAGACAAATCAAAGTAAGTTACTAAAAATGAAAAGACACAACTAGTTCTAATTCACTTAAAAAAAAAAAAACTTACTGAAAGCAGAGTCTGACCTTGTTTTAAATCTTCAAATCAGAGACAAACTCACTTAGCAGAAAATTGGTTGTTTCCTCTACAACATTTCAAAAATTATAATTTTTAAAAAACTGTCAGGAGGGGGACCATCATCTTTCTTTGATGGCAGTTTGGTTTAAATCCTATTCAGAACAATGGTGGAGAAAAGGTGATGACCATTTTAAGAGAGAGAACACTTCTTATAAAAAATCATGCTTTGTCAATCTATGCTGAAGAAATCTGAAGCTATGAAGAACAACCAAAAAATGTGAATGAAAAGAGTCTAAACAACATTTCTTCAAATGTAAGCCACTTTTAGCAATTTTAAATTATATGGAAAAAAATGGCTATTTCATTACTAACAGATGCCCCGCACTCCCAAGGCTTAACAACTGGGTAAATCAACTTAATTTGTAAAAGGCCTGGTTTGTCCTGTAAGTCCAAAGGTGATTGGATTAGTAAGACATTGACCCAGGTAGTTTCCATGGATGGGGGAAATGTAGAACAAAAGATTCCCGTCCTGGGGTGAAGACTATTTAAGAAAGTGAAACTTATCAGGTCTGTGTCTTGGGTTTCCCAGCCCTCTTTAGAGTTCTCTTTGTGTGCTAGTGTACCAGGCTGGTTTGGAGAACAGCCTGGTACACTAGCACACAAAGAGAACTCTAAAGAGGGCTGGGAAACCCAAGACACAGACCTGATAAGTTTCACTTTCTTAAATAGTCTTCACCCCAGGACGGGAATCTTTTGTTCTACATTTCCCCCATCCATGGAAACTACCTGGGTCAATGTCTTACTAATCCAATCACCTTTGGAACTACCTGGGTCAATATGTCTTACTAATCCAATCACCTTTGGACTTACAGGACAAACCAGGCCTTTTACAAATTAAGTTGATTTACCCAGTTGTTAAGCCTTGGGAGTGCGGGGCATCCATTAGTAATGAAATAGCCATTTTTTCCATATAATTTAAAATTGCTAAAAGTGGCTTACATTTGAAGAAATGTTGTTTAGACTCTTTTTCATTCATATTTTTTGGTTGTTCTTCATAGCTTCAGATTTCTTCAGCATAGATTGACAAAGCATGATTTTTTATAAGAAGTGTTCTCTCTCTTAAAATGGTCATCACCTTTTCTCCACCATTGTTCTGAATAGGATTTAAACCAAACTGCCATCAAAGAAAGATGATGGTCCCCCTCCTGACAGTTTTTTAAAAATTATAATTTTTGAAATGTTGTAGAGGAAACAACCAATTTTCTGCTTGTATTTGTGCAATGTGAAGCAGAACTGAACACGCTATTCCGGGTCCAGTTGCTTCAAGGCTACAGAAACATCACTATTTCTTAATCAGGTCTGCTGATGTTGAATTTCTCCTCCTCACTTACTCTGGCAGAATGACAGCTAATGACTATCAATAATTTTCCTTATCTGCTATATTTGTTAAAATATTTTCCTTCATGTTTTCTCTCTACCGATAACAGTTCCTGTATTCTCCTCTCCCATATGTGTATTGCAACATTTTTGAGTATTTCAGTTAGTGGATCTCTATGCTGTACCAAATACATCCAGTACAGCACTGGTGTCAGGAATGTTGAGCATTTATCCAATTAAATTATATTTAATTCCATTCTCCTGCCATATTCCTTATCTCTTCTGGCTCCCTTTCATGAAAAGGGAGTCTTTGCAAGATGGAAAACTTTGCTTGCCCTAACTCTTTTATAAACAGTCCATCTAATTAAAATAACATGTTTTAAGAATCTTTTCCTAGTGTTCCAGGGACATTGTGTAATTACTAGGATAAGTAGGTGATGTCACACTTCATCCTAAACATACACTGAGTATTGGTCAGTTTGGAAAAATAAATGTTTTCAGTTAAATCACACTAGTTTCTGAAATTCTAACTAGGTTATATACAATTAGCATAAGAACTAAAAGAGAACATTTCTTCAGTTGGATTGATTTATGCATTTAACAACATTTGGTGTTTGAAATATTTCACTTTTCCTTGTCTTTTGTGTAAGTTTTTCCCTGTGGGTTGGCATGTGAGACTTTATTTAAAAAAAAAAAAAAGGGAGGAGGGGTGCAGAAGGAGAGGTGTGTGTGTGTGTGTTTGCTATACTAATCTGTCACTTTACATATTAGGCTAAACTAAAAGCTTTTGTCAGTATAACAGTGATGTGAGACTTTAGCATCTGACACATCCACATAATCTTTTTGTCAGTATAACGGTGATGTATGTGAGACTTTAGCATCTGACACATCCACATAATCTGCTTCTGTGGGCACATGGAATATTGATAGACCAGCAGCTTTCAAACTGTGGGTTGGTACCCTATTTTAATGGGGTCACCAGGGCTGGTGTTCGACTTTCCAGGGTCCAGGTAGAAACCCAAGCCCCACTGCCAGGAGCCAAAGCCTGATCCCACTCAACGGCTTCTGTGGTAGAACTCAGATTACAGACCCTGCCCCTCTTTGGCTGAAGTTCTTTGGTTTTGATGCCTTTTGGGTGACTGGACTTAGGCAGGCTTACACTCGGGTCCTCCCTGCTGGCTTGTATAGTAACTTTTGTTGTCGGGGAGAATTACAATGCAATGAAGTTTGAGAACTGCTGTGATAGACGATTGCATCAGTAAGTGGCATATGTATCTATGTTCTGGTTCACAGGGTAGGTTTGCAGTGATATTTGGAATTAGTGAGGAGTGGAAACTTCCAGTGCTGGCTATGCAGATACAGAATTAGATGTAATTTTTTTTTACCTGGTTTAAAAGGCCCAAGACACAGGCCTTAAAACTATATAAAGAGTCAGCCTGCTCTGACTCATGGAGAGACTCACTCTAGAACAGAGAACTGACAAACGTATAGCTTACCAAAATCTCATGCGGATGCACATTGATTGTTGCGGTTTTTTTCCCTCTGTAATGGCTTTGACCTAAATAAATGTACTGTGCTTTGTGAAAGCTGGTTGGTCACCTTACCTATCATTATTCCTGAGAGCAGAACTGTGAATGTTAAACTAAAGACAATTGCTGGAACAACCACAGTGAATTAGAAGGTAATTGCACCCCTAAAACTCTGAGCTGGAGGGAAGAGGAAGAATAGGTTCCTAGCTTAACACCTTAAGGGGATGCTTTTGAAGAGCCTACAAGTGGAAAAAGTGCAGGTAAACCCAGAATTATGACAACAAAAATGTCAATGGATTTTTGTTTATAAGGATGTGGGACTGCAACATACCAATAAAACTCCTGGAGTAGATGCAGCTAGTGGCAACAAAGTGACTTTGTCAGTGGTGCATATTTTGCTTGGCAAATATAAGCTATCAGAAAAAAACACTTCTTCACTGGTATAAATGGGGTCTACTCTACTAGGGTTTAATGGTTTAGCTATACTGGCAAACCTTTCCTACGGTAGATCTTGTCCTAAAGAAGGGGCAGAACATCCTGAACAAAAAACATCTTTGTACTCCAGAATTTTTCAGAAATAACAGAAATTGCTATACCCCAGGATGGAGACCGCAAGAGCCTGAAAGAATGCCAAAATGAGGAACCCCTAGATAAGAACCAAGCACCTGACAACCTAGCAATGCATCACATGCAAAGGGAGAAGATGGTTTCTGCTAAAAGAAATGGAGTTCAAAGTAAGTGGAAACTGAAAGAAGCTCTTAGTTTGAGTACTTACAGTACTTCAAAACAGTATACAAATCAATTTCTATGTCCACAAAAATATTGTGGAATGTCCTAATGGTCTAATGATCCAATACCCAGATTGTTGTCCCATGAAGGTGATATGCAAAGAACCTATTAACATTGGGCCTGAGAATATCTCTATGAATTGCAAAGAGGACTTGAAAGTTGGAGAAGGTGGGGGGTTCTGCTTCAGTTTTTTTTCTTGGGAATGTCAAGAAATGTCTTCCATAGTTTGGGTGAAGGCCTTAGCTTGAAAGTTGGAGACGGTGGGGGGTTCTGCTTCAGTTTTTTTCTTGGGAATGTCAAGAAAAGTCTTCCATAGTTTGGGTGAAGGCCTTATTGGAGAAAGCAGGGGTCTGAGCATGCCCTTACACTAACTTAAGTATCAAATTTTTAGCAAAGGTATCCATTTCCCAAAATTACTTCATGGCGAAACTTAAAGCAACTGAAAGGTGAGCAGTTGAAAATGGAGGGGATTTTGAGTCACTGTTCAAAGTGTTTTGTTTTAACTATAAATCCAGTCACCGTAGCATTTCAGGGTAGGGATGTAAGCGACTAGTCAACTAACCGATAATCATAAGCTTATCGGATAATCAAGTAGTCAGTCAAATAGTTGCTCTCCCCCCCCCCCCCGTAGCAAGGGGGAAGCAGAAGATGTGCTGGGGGGAGCTGGTTTAAAATCAGATTTCCTGTTGTTGTCTCCTTCTCTCTCCCCCCATCCCCACCCCATGAAGATGGTGCTGGGGGAAGGGGGATGGCAGAGTCATCCCTACTGCTGCACCTCTCCTTTTGAGGGAAGGGGGATGGCAGAGGCATCCCTACTGCTGCACCTCTCCTTTTGAAACTTCAAAATGAGAGGCAAGGAGCAGGGACTCACTGTGCCTCTTCCTGTGGGCAGCTCTTGTACGTTTTTAAAGCGAGAGGCGCAGTGAGATAATCATGTGGTCAACGGAAATTCCATCCACTACTCAATGAGCTGTTTAATCAAAATTTAACATCTCTATTTCAGGGTAGACAAGACTTGAATTTCTTATGTGGAAAAACCAGCTGAATATTTAAAAATCCTTTCACGCCGCCTTTATCGTTTTTTAAACAACGGGATGCACAGTCCCTCCTTTTTTTGTCAGCTTTAAATTCTGTGCCTCTTGGATTATCACAGAGGTGGTACTCTGTTTCTGAGGAAAAAGGCGTGGAAGACTACTTAAAGTGGTGTTTCACTGGCCTCTGCTTGCAGACAACTCAAGTTTCCAAGATCTGGAGTTAGTATAAGTTTATATGCAGGCTAAGAGAAAAAAATATTGTTGGGCAGCTTAGTCCACAAACAAAAACCTATCCAGGCAAGTGAAACTTCTTCCCTGCCTGCTGAATTTGATGCAATACTGAAAATCAGAATTTGTGTTTCTCACATTTGTGTATGTCTAAATCTAAATGCAGTTGACCTAAAGAGGAGGAAGGGGAAAACCAAATAAACATGTCTGTCTGGTCGGGGTTCATTAAGCCAGGGGTTCTCATCAGGGAACCTGAGGGGGGCAGCTAGCATCTTTCGGGGGTCCATCAAAATAAGAGAGCAGGGCTGGCATTAGACTTGCTGGGGCTCAGGGCAGAAAGCCCAAGTCTTGCCACTCAGTGCTAAATCCTGAGCCCTGGTGCCCAGGGTTCAATCTAGTGCCTGAGCAATTTAGCTTTATGTAGGTACCTGTGATTTGGGGGGGCCCCAAGCCAATGCCCTGCTTACTACCCTCTAATGCTAGCCCTGACTCTTATTCTACGGAATATGGAGAAAAACAATTATTGCTGCACAGGTGGGAATTTTTAATAGAATAGTAGGGAACCAAAGAAATAAAAAGGTTGAGAACCTCTGTACTAATCCACATACAATGCCATGCTCTGCTCCAGGTAGGTGGCACACTAGTGTGCACAGTCCCTGAGTTGCAGCATAACTGCTGTTCGATACAACATACAAGAAAACGCCAGTGGATCTAACAAAGTGTGTTTTACCCACGAAATGCCCAAATAAATCTGTTTTAGTCACCTTAAGGCACCACGTCGTTTATACAAGAAAACTGTTATGGGAAGCCAACAATCCACAGATCAGATAGGGATGTAAAAAGGTTAACTGGTAAGTATTAATTTTACCAGGTAACCTGCCTTAACTATTAACCCCGATCAAAATATTTTTTGTTTAAATTGGTTAACTTTTTAAAATGGTTTTTACATCCCTAAAGTTAGATAACTGTGTGTATTTGTGATAGAAATGTAGCCGTGTTCAGATAACTGTGTGTATTTGGTGTGAGTGTTTTTCAAGCAACACGCAATATATAGTAACCTTCTGTTAGACCCAGCAAGCTGTGCTTTGAGATTGAGAAACAGTTGCACTATCCCACTTAAACCATGATTGTAGTTCTTGTTTGAAGTTTCATGAGCAACTCTTGCTGCTTTCTGTTCGAGCAGTGGTTCCTTCTGGTGACACAAGTGTTCTGTAACAAGCCTACTCCAAAACGTACACTGATGGGTTAAAATAAATTGCTAATTTTCCACCCTCTGATCCCATTGTGATGGTGGGGTTTCCCAAACAGCTTGCGGTTATTCTATACCGGGGTGGCCAACCCATGGCTCACAAACTGAAAAATAATTGCAGCTCCTGAAGGAACTGGGACAGAACCCAGAACCACTCAGGTCAGCTGCTCTCATGGCCAGGCCACTGTGAGCCACATGTGTACTCACAGCCCGTGCCATTCCACTGAAAGCCCCCAGTGCACTACAAGCGCGTCTCAAGGCTGGCCGCTCAGCGCATGTGCCCCAGCGCCTGGAGGGAGACGTGTGGCTGTAGTGGTGGCTCCGCCTCCGGAACCTGAGAATTAGGTTAGAACGGAGGGGAGGGGGATTGGTATAGAGGGGAGCTGGTATAGACGGGACCTGGCTTGCA